CGCGGCGAGGCAGTCCTCCCAGCCCAGGGGGTTTATTCCCAGAGGCTCCTCACAGCGTTTTGGGAAAGGCTGCATTAGCACGAGGTGATTTGGTCCCGTTTCCCACCCAAACGGAGATGGAGGCTGTGCCTGCCTGGTGGTTCCCAAAGCCGATGCAAAGGAAGGGACCTGTGCAGCTCTGCAGCCTTCACTGAATGCAGCCCATTGCTGGGGTTATCTGCAGTCAGTCACACCGCCCTGGAGTTTATGTACCGTGCAAGGGAGCTCCAGATCCATCTGCTAATCTCTCAGGAATGCTGAAGAGATTTTTACTGTCACGCTTACAAAGTGCTTTGAAGCCTCTCGGTGAAACGGAGAAGAAATGTGAAGCTTTAATTTAAAGTACTCTATTTCCCATTAGTATTTTGTGAGTGAGTGCCACACAGGGTGCTGTTGACTACAAATGGGGCAGAATTTGATGCAGATGATAAATCATCTAAGCTTCAAAAGGCATTTTACAACCAATTGGAAATCTTTTGTAGTTCCTTCACTAGCATTTTGGTTTGGTTTTGTGGTTGGGGTCTTTTTTTGATTGAGGACGCTGGCACAGGGTGCCCAGAGAAGCTGTGGCTGCCCTATCCCTGGCAGTGTTCAAGGCCAGGTTGGACAGGGCTTGGAGCAACCTGGTCTAGTGGAAGGTGCCCCTGCCCATGGCAGGGGGTTGGAACTGCATGAGCTTTAAGGTCCCTTCCAACCCAAACCATTCTACGGTTCTATGACCAAATATAACACTGTCTTCTTTGCCCTCTGATCTGACTTCTTGGTGCTATCTCATGCAGCACACTTACAGCAGGACGGATGATTTTTAACTCCTCACACATGCCTGCTTTACAAGTCTGTCTCTTCGGCATCAGATCCACTTTCATTTTGTTAGTCCATTTCTATAACCACTTACATTAAAATGTCTGTTTTCAAAGCTTTGATACGACGTGTTTTCTGCTTGGCTTGAGCAGTCTGCGCTTCATAAGTGTTTTCTTATAGCATCAATTCTACGGTTTAATCCTTTGTGAGATTAAAGTTCCTGCTTTAACAAACTGAACTCTTTATCCTAAAATAAATCCTTTGAGTAAAAGGAACTGAAGTTCTCACTGATCCCTATTGGATTTTTTATGTTTCACCAAAACAGAAGGAAATATTTACTTCATTTTATACACTAGCAAAACCAGCCCTTAGTCTGCCTGTGTGTTTGGAGGCCAAGCTAAATCCAGGATGCTCCACAAGCATCTTGCTTGACAAGCTGATTTTGGGAATACAGAAAACTGACTTGCCTCCTGACAGGCTCTCTCCCATAGCAAACATGAGACTATTCCTTTCTTCTTGTGCCAGCTTTGCTATTCCGTGCTACAGACACGCGAGCTGGTGCCAGCGGAGCAGGTTTCTCCATGAAGTGCAGCGTAGTCTCTTGGAGCTATCCCAGCTGGAATGTTGAAATAAGACATCTCCGGTAGCGTTGTGCCTGACTGAAGCATGGCCAAAGCACAGCGCTGCAGCCTGCTCTGCCTCTGTTCAGAGAGCCACCAGGCAGTGCAGAGCTCTCTGCCTGCCTTCCCATAGCACAGCGGTCTGGTGAGCACGGAATGATGTGTTACATCGACTTCCCTGTTTCATGGTGCTTCCAAGTTGCATTTATCAATACAGAAACTTGCTGTTACGCAGTGGTGTCAGTAAATGCTGTGATGTGCGACTGGTGGGCAAGCTGTGTGCATGATCAGGTATAGGGAGGGGAATAGGTGTGAGATGATACATTAGGAAAAAGAGAGGTTCAGATTTGGAGAGGAGTCAGGAAGTCCTGATCTGGGATAATGTAGTAACAAAGTGTTTCCCAAATGATGGTGACAGAGAGTTTCCAATAGCTTGAGAACACCCTTAGCTCAATTCACGTGCTGAGTTCAGCCAGTAAATTGTTCATTTATATCTTGTGAGAGCTGGTATTGCATGTGAAAAGAAACACAGAAGAAATACAAGTCCCAGAGAGGCAGTCTAGTCCAGCAACAGTGCCCTCCACTAAGAAATGTAGACCTAGAAACTTTACATAGAATAAAGCAATTCTTTAATTGGAGCTGCTGAATGTTTTAACAGTTAAATACACCAGCCTACTCACTGCAGTTACACAGTGAACCGTGAAAATGTTCATAGAGGACTCGTCTCACTTAAACAACTCTTCTGCTCTCCATGGTGTTTGCAGGTACCCTGCCTCTCAGGCACCCATGGGTGACTCCTGGGTGCTCCCTGCGGTGGTGGCTGGCCTTTGGAGGAGTTCCACTGGTGTGCTGGTGGCTAACAGAGAAAGGAGCCCTGCTTTGTAAGACGTGGCCTAACGCTGGGTTTGCTTGAGCAATGGCTGCTAAATACTTGGTTATCTCAGGTGAACACCCCCGAGCAGCTGGGCCTGGCACTGTGCTATGGGCTCAGAAATGCAAATCATTCACTATGAAAACACTGCTATCAGCTTCTCAGGCACGGCTACATTAAATAAACCAGGTGTGAAGATCACTCCCAGCCCTAGTGCTACTGTACCAGCCCAAAGCTGGGAGAGAGGAGAGCGGCCTGCCTGGGAGGAGAGGCTATGTGTATCTCTGGGAGGGGGACCAGCTTATTGGAACAATTACATTCCCCAGGGTTTGGCAATTGAATTACATTTGTAAATAGCATCAGGACTTACCTTGTCCCAGAATGTGACAATTCTGTTCCTCTTTTTACTGTCTTTGGTTTGCATTCATCAGAGTTGGACTGGCTGAACAGACCAGGGCCAGAAGGAAGAAAGTGTTCGAGTTCTTTTACTTTAAATTACTTCATCTTTGTCTGTCTGTCTGTCTTTCCTTAAAGGATGGATACGAGGTGTTTGGTAAGGAGCTGTGCTTACACTATAAAACCACCCATGGATGCACCGGTACAGCATAGCAAACTCCCAACTCTACTAGCAACATGAAGGAAAACAAATTTCATTCGTGCTTACGTCTGTACCTTGCTCTGGCTGATATAATCTAGACTAAAGAGCATATTTTTTTCCCCTTATAGTACTTTTGATCACAGTAATTTCATAGAAATTGATATTTTGGGTGGTTTTTTTTGGAAGCCTGTTGGAAAATAGTCTTTGTCCCAGGGGTTACAGCAAACCTGCCAGTGTTGCCCATTTTGGTCACTCCTCAACCTCACCTACCACAAAGGCCAGGGTGACCCTATTGTATGTATGACAGACAGCAGATCTTCACATGTTCAGGACACATTAAACTCGAGGATGACAATACAACCATGTGCAGCAAATTGGGTTTGGACCTATTGAGATTGGCTGCTCTGGACAACAAAGGGTATAATACCACCACAGAATTCACTGAGAGAAAATTCTCTGAAGGCATTTAAATCTCTCCTTTTTCATTACCACTTGTTTATTCAAGTGTCATATGTCTGTGGAGAAAAATAAGCCAACTCAAGGTTTTACTTTTCTACTTCCCAGTTAAGCAAGAGAGCACTTGGAATCCACTTGTGCAAGACCTCCACCATCCTCTCTGGATCCTCCACCATCCTCCTCTGGATGGAGTTGTGTCAGTTTTACTAAGAACTAATGAAAGCTCCAAAACTAGGTAAGAGTTAAAAAAAAGAGAGAAAGGTGGTTTCCCAAGTAGAAACCTTTATGCAGTTTGGGTAGATGCCTGGAAATAACCACAACTCCATTCTCCTTGTCCATTAAAGCATGGTCTAATCTGGCCTGGCACCCAAGAGCAAACAGCGCCGTGTGCTTCATGTCCTGTTGGACAACTCTGATTGTACAGATAGTACAGCTGCAGTTTTGCAGATGGCATGAGGCTCCTTCTGGAACCTCCCTGCAGCAGGGTGGGTAATAGTTGTCTGCTTTGGAGCTAACACCCTTCACTGTGCTGCTGCCGTGCATTTGTGGTGACATTGACTTCATAAATGATTCCATGAGGTGCAGAACAGCAGTTAATTGGGAGTAGGGGCTGGCAATGTGTTTTTAGCCATGTCAGCGAATGAAATGGGGTTTATTGACAGAGTGCTAGAGCAACTTGTGAGGAAACATACACATGCTAAAGTCCATCTTCACTAAATATTCCCATTTTGACCGGCAGCAAACAGCCCATAGCACGGACCCAGCTGCACCAGCTACAGGTGATCATAAAAGAACAGCTCAGTGTGATAAAACAAATGGTATCAGTTTTGGTATCTTATGCTGATACGGCTGAATCTGCAGCACCATAACTGTGCAAACAATCACGCCTTTTACAGGCACACAAGCCGAGAGCAGTAGTGCAGCACCGTTATCAAGGAGTCTTTGCTAAACAAGAGAGGGCCAGGAATTGGAGCACTTCCTGAATTTAACCAACTCCTCTAATAAAGTAATTTTACACAAGAGAGAACAGGGAAATCGATGCAATTAGCAATAGCATTTCTGGCTATCTGCCCAGAAGGAAGCTGTGAAGCAACAGCCACCTGAATGATTTCCATCCGTGTCAATGCAGAGCACCTATGGATGCTCTTTTAAAACACCTCCAGAAGGGAGTGGTGCCTCTGGGTCAGGGTCTGACCCCAGCTAGGATGGGTCCCCAAAGGAGATGGCACAGCCTTGCCCTGAGCTCTGGTGTTTCAGACACATCCTCCTCTGTGGTGTGCCACATACCAGCTTCTTCCCTCCCGTGTCCTTTCCTTTTGGCTTCATTTTCAAATGAACGGTATCTACCTTCTGGCCTCCAAGCTGCCCAGAAGCATGGGAAATGATAGGCAGAGGGGATTTCTTTGTGAACTTGCTGGTCCTCCTGCCTGTCTCCTGGGAAGAGCAGGGCTATGTGTGTAGGACCTGGTGCTATTCATGTCACTCCTTCCAGTCAGCAAGCAGGATAACGTACCTTTCAAAAGCACGTGTTAAACCTGCCCCTCTTCATCTGATCATCAGATGCACTCTTTAATGCAGAGCATGCAGCTGCTTCCCATCTCTGGCTCACTTGAGTTTTTTTTTCTCCTGCTTTGGGTTAAATTGAGAATGAGTTTTCATGCAATGGCTGCTGTCAGAAGGAGCTGCCCCAGTCTGCTCCCAGTCACACGCCACACACTCCCATTGACATCCTTGTTGCCAGCTCTTTGGCTCGTTGGACCTCTTGGCAATCTCCTTCACCTTATCTAACAGGCAAACAACCATTTGCTTCCTAGGCTGATTCTCTGCTGGAATAGAGAGCAAGCCTGGTTCACCAAGGGGTCAGGAGAGCACTGGCGGCAGCAGGAAGGCAGGATGGGAAACAGGATGGGAGCAGGTTTTCTTTTTGGGTAGCTTGCAGTTAGAGCCATGAGCTAATGCCAAATAGTGGTGGATGTTCTCCATTCACAGCTGCGTTCTCCTGCCGTTCCCCTTGTGCTGAGCCTAGCAATGGGGTGGCTTCAGGGTGAGTTGATTCAGCTGGCTGATCTGGCTGGAAACTCCTCATTTTCATGGCGCAGTTCACCTCTGTTACCGGCCAGAGGAACAGATTCACCCTGTGGCCACACAGCCGTTAGATGCAATACAAGGAAAGCAATGCAAACAGGAAACAGGCAGCAACTAGCTTGTAGATCAGCTCAGCTGTAATGCCAAACTGCAGCCTATGGAGCAGCCACACCAGCCCAGCCACTCTGCTGTTCCTGCAGTCCTCTGATCACTGGATAGTTTGCTTCCCTACCTGTGGTCCTCCACTCTAATGAGCAACTTTCCAGTGCATGAAGTGTATTTTTATCTCCCCTATTCTGTGTGAGCAGAATTGCACTCCAGCAGGCAATTTCAACCTCTTCGGATATGTGGACTGCTAGTGGAGAGACAGATCCTGCACAGCAGGACTGAATCTATTGGCTTCCATTCCTCTGTGGCTTTTGTGGACCTTGGAAGTTGCTCGCAGTGGCAACAACTGTAGACTGACATCTACAGCACAGAACAAGTGCTGAGAATCACACAGGTCCCATCAGCCTGGCAATAGTGTTTTGACATCATTTTCTTCTCTTGTTTTATTTCTTTTGCATCAAGGATTATGAAATCAGAGCAGGTTATGGACAGCTAGGCTGGTGAGCAAAAATGGAAGCTTTGAGCTAAAACCTCCACAATCCAGTTTCCTGATGGACAGCACAGGACAAATAGCTGAGCCAGGACTTTCCGTTCTCTCTGCCTGTGAGGAGGCTGTCCTCACAGGAGATAAGAGTAACATCCTTTCTTACAGAAATAATGCAAGATCCGTTGCTGCAAGTTTGTGCAGAGGCTGCACTAGTAACAGTTCCTCTTGGAGAGACTGTGGCTCCTCTCCCGATCACTGCAGAAGGCTGGGTTCTGATCCAACTGGGTTTCAGCGGCAATACGTAACTGAAATGCAGCCCTCACCCTCTCTTTCCCTCTCTTTGAGCTGGTTTTATTCACTGATCTGGTTCACAGCCCAGACCTATAAGCAATCACAGACTCATGTAATGGTTTGTGTTGGAAGGGACCTTAAGAACATCCAGTTCCAACCCCCTGCCACGGGCAGGGACACCTTCCACTAGACCAGGTTGCTCCAAGCCCCGTCCAGCCTGGTCTTGCACACTGCCAGGGATGGGGCAGCCACAGCTTCCTTGTGCAGCCTGTTCCAGCTCCTCAATACTGTCACAGTGAATTGAGTCAGTACAAGTGTCAGGGTTGCGAGGAGAGCAGTGTGAGTGAGTGTGATGGCAAAGGGAGGGTTGGACAGGATCGCCTTAAGCTGCCCAACCCTCATTTTTTATCAAGCCAGAGTTCAAGACTGGCACATTCAGGACACCTTAAGCCCCTTTGGCTTAAAACATGTGCAGTTTATTTACACACCTTCTGGTTAGTATCTTGCTGATGCTTGAGAGGAATTGCTGCTGATCAGGTCCTATGCTTAGGGAGACGTGAACCCTCTTCCTTTCACAGGCTTTGCTGCAAGATAATGAAGTCTTTGAATGAGGAAGGTAATGACATAATCATAGAATCACAGAATGGTTTGGGTTGGAAGGCACCTTAAAGCTCATCCAGTTCCAACCCCCTGCCGTGGGCAAGAACACCTTCCACTAGGCCAGGTTCCTCAGAGCCCTATCCAATCTGGCCTATATATTAACATATAATTTACAGTACTCATGGAGTCACCCACTGGGGACCTCATCATGTATCTCCTGTAAACCAGGGGCTGGGATGACTGGCACTTGAGGGAATTTCATCAGGGAAAACCAGAGCAAGGATTCCCAAAGGAAAAGCTTAACCAAGGTGTTTACACCTTACCAGCCAGCTTTCTGAACTGTATTCTCAGGAGAGAGGTATCTGAACGCCTGATTCAGTGGTGATGTGCTCCTACACACCAAGCCTAAAATAGCAGAGGTTAACGACACTCAGAATGCCAGTGCGAGGCCCCCGAGATAAAACGCTATCATGATGAAAGGAGCAATTCTCTTGCTTCCTTCCGTCTGCAGGATCTGTACACGCTGGCCTCCACTTCAGGAGCCTTACCAGTGCAATTCTGTGAGTTAAGAGCTGGCTCTTTTGCTGACATAGTCATGCTGATAAAAGCCCTCGATTAGCTACAGCTATACAGACACGGGCAGGAAGAGCGGGTCTTTAACCTCACCAAGACACTCACAGCAAAAGGAGCTATCTCCAGTATAGACAAACCCGTGGGCTCAAAAGTATGTGAATGTAGTATCTCCTTTTGTGTGCTGTTTCTATTACAGGCCTCCATAGAGTGCCCATCATTGGAATCGTTGAGTAGCCTTTACATAACAGCAAAACTACACTGGCTAGAGAACAGGCTCTGATATTCCCAACAGCAACTGACATTTCTTTCCAGATTGAAACACAGGGAAGGAATTCTTTGTCAGATGGAGTCCCAGACATCACTAGTAATGTGCCCAGTAGCCCGTTAGCCACAACAGACAGCAGGTTCTTGCTAATCCCCGCTATTCACAGAGAGGGCAGCAGCAATCTGTGCTGGTTGAACCTTATCGCTCTGGTGCAAGATGCCACATTCGGGTCAGTAGCTATTTGTTCTGAGCCCCTCACTACACTTTGCATGAACAATGTCATTATCTAACTCTTCATAACAGAACGACCCAGTGCCCAGGCTTTAAAAGTCAGCTCAGGAAGGGGCTGGTCCTGATTCAGATGTCAGCTCTATCATCACATTCACTGCAAAAAGGATCCAAGTTTTCAATTCACTTTCTTTTATATTAGCAGGAAAACATCTGTTTTGAAAGAAAAGTAAGTTTGTTTTTTCCCCCCCAGTGACACATTGCAAGATCCTGCCTTCTCATGCCTTGCAGGAGTTAGTTTGATGATTCCTTCTGACACCCTAAAGCTTCAAGACTCTACAAAGAGGTAGTGAAAGGATTAAATGAATTACTTGGTCACCGTGGAAAGTCACGGAGTCAGAACACCAGGAGCCTGAGGTTTCTATGGCTATTGTACGAGACAGACAGCTTCATCTTGTCACCTGTGTAGGACTGCAGCACTGTTTTCTTTACTTCTTTGGACAAATGGGCTCATGGCCAATGATTTATCAGTCTTACTTCTAGAAGTGTGGAAGCCACTTAGCTGTTGCAAAGCCTCAGACAAATGTAGACAAAAGCTTTGCAAGAAATCTCAGCTGTCCCCGTTTAGAATGGAGGCTGCTCAACATCTAAAGAACTGAGCTCTTGGTTATCAAGGGATATAGTAAAATCTTCAATAATCTGCAGACTTTCAGAGAACAAATAAAGGCTCTGGCTGGGAAGTTACTGAATGCCCAAGGATTTCCAGTACTCCGTTTCCTAGGTGCCATTAAAAATCCACAACCTTAAATCCCTCAGCAACTCAGCTTCCCCTGTGATACCATTACGTCCACATGGCTGGACACAAAAAATGTGCCAGCTCGTACCTGAGAGCACAGTGCTACACGCTGTAGCACGTTAAATTAATCTCTGTCTGCTGACACAAGTCACCCTTCTTCAGCATCACTTTATTTATACAGCCATACAGCGTGTGCGTGCTAGTGCCCAGAGTCACGGCCGAGCCCGTCCCATGCGGGATGTGTTTCCATCCCAGCGGCTTTGCCTGATGCCAGATCATTCCTCACATTGCCCAACTGTCCTGTCACCTTTGGTAACAGCCGTGCTGGCAGCCAACCATTTCCTCGCAGACTGGTGAGCTCACTGCTGCTTCAGACCTGTGTCAGGGGAGTTTAAACAGCGCTTAGGAACAGGCTGTTCTTCACTCACACTACAAAGGCTCTGTCTGCACTACAAAACCAAACCCAACCTGCCTGCAGCACTGCAGCCACTTTGCACTGCGTAGTCTTGTCCAGGATGCAGGAGGGACCTGGTGCTCAGGCTCTGTGAGGCAGGAGGGTGCTGTCCCTCAGCCTGGCTGGTCCCCACTATAGACCCCACCAAGGCAGGGCTCAGCCCAGTGGGATTTCAGGCAACCACTACAGCAAACTGGGCACTCGTGAGACTCACATTGCTACATGAAGTTCTACTGTCGTTCACTTCATAGAATCCCAGAATGGTTTGGGTTAGAAGCTCATCCAGTTCCAACCCCTGCCACGGGCAGGGACACCTTCCCCTAGAGCAGGTTGCTCCAAACTCCATCCAACCTGGCCTTGAACGCTGCCAGGGATGGGGCAGCCACAGCTTCCCTGGTTCTGTTCCAGTGTCTCCTTCAACCTATTCCTGTGTTTCACTATCCTCACAGTGAACAGCCTCTCTCTGTTCATTCTAGATTCATAAATCATGTTCTCTTAAACAGTCCTGCTGTTAAGGAAAATTCTGGCCTGCTTAGTGTGTTTTCAAATGTATGTGGCCACAATCAGCTGAGGACAAAACCAGGTTTCAAATGATGGATAATACTTTGCTGGACTTGCCCCATGCAAGAGCTTAGATTGTAACTGGAAGTGAATACCAACCAGTGGAAACGCCCGAAGGAGAGGTCTGCTGCCCTGTTGTCACTATGTAGGGATTGCTGATAGCACATAGTCAAGTGCTAGGTGAAAGTCAGGCCACATTGAAAAGCCAGATAAAAATACCTTTCCAGTAACAAACTGCATACAATCACCCAGTTTGTTTCACCTTGAATTCCTCCTGCTGTCGGGGGACTTCATGTCCCAAATTCCTTGAACTATATAATAAGATGATTGCTATAATGTTTTACTTTGGTTGTGTGCACATGAAATGGGGCAGACTGGTAATACACCAGAGACTGTGCAGAGCAGCAGCTGTTACACTTCCAAAGAGCATTACTGAGCTTTTTATAGTTGGCTGCAGTTGACATCATGGCTAAATAGAGTCTCACTCTAAAATATATTCCACCCAGCCTATGCAGCCTTAAAGCCATGCATTGCTGGAAGGAGATGGGGTCACAGGAAGCAGTGCAATGCCAGCATGGAGGTAAAAGCCTGGGGATGTGTTTCCTTCTTTTTCTGTGTCCATTAGAAATGCTTTTGAAAGACTGATTTGAAAGAGAGAAGAGAGTATGACAGCGTGAAACCTCTCATCTCAGGACCCAGCATTCAAACCTGGCCCAGGTCAGTGGTGGTGGTCCTAGCGAGTTTCTAGGGGTTAGTCCTTCACAGATGACTGTCCAGACCAAAAGAGACCAAGTGCTTCTACACTGCTACCACCAGTGCCCCTGTGATGCTGCTGGAACCTGTGTAAAAGCAGCTGCATGGTAAAATCCATTGGTGAGGAGCATCACACACCCAAACCCCTTCCTAGACCAGACCAGCAGCTTGCAGAGCTTCCAGGAGAGTGCTTTGCACCATACTCACTGTTGAGAAAATAATGGAACTGAGTTTGGGGGAACCTTATCCAGAACTTGAGGGTATTGAGGATAATGGTCCCCAAGGATGACACCTGCAGCACAGACCTCCCAAATAAAACCTCTGCATTGCTTTAAATGCTCGCAGCATGGCACACCACTGCCCTGAGGACCTTCTGCAGTAGCACAAGGGAGAACAGTTTGGGAACAAGTCGCATAAACCTGAAGATGGGGACTCACCACACCAATTCTGAGCAGCTCCTGCCTATATGCTGCAATCTCTGTAGCTAACACGAGGGGATTAGGGACTGAGGAAGGAGTTTGGGCTAGCATGGCCCTCCACACTGCAATGCTCCATGAACTCATCTGATCTACTACAGCATGTAAAAAAACCACATACTTCCCCTGCCTGCTAGAGAGGTACAGGATGAGATATACAGTGTGCTTCTTCCCTATACCTGCCTGGCATTTGTGTCCAGATAGCAAAGATACCAGCCTGTGAAGTTGAAATCACACCTACTAATCCAGTATTTTCCCCCAAAGTATCCAAATTGTTGCCTGGGTTCCCTCCAGGCTCCCTTTTCTCTTTCCATCATCTCATCTGTTGGCTGATAACAGATGTGATGGTATCAGGACAGGAGCAGCCGCTGTGACTGCTGTATGTAACTGGTTCCATTCCACATGGGATATTCAAAAGACACTTTTGGCTCAATTTCTTTCAAGGGTGCTGCTCAGGGGACTGCTCATGTGGTACAAGACATGCAAACGAGGGTACAATAAGATAAGGGAGACTGGAACATTGCCAAATGAAGGTTTAGTGCAGAGGTTTCACCAGTGCTGATCGTATGAGCTCTAGACCCCAGAACTTCTAAATCCACCCTGTGTTTGCGTGTGTCTCACTATCTATACTACTGTGTTATTGGGCATACTCCATGGGAATGGCCTGGGCTTCCTGCAGTACCTTTCACACGCACTGCACCTCCCTCTGAGTCTGTGATGGAACAGCGTTTGGTTTTCAGCTATGGCTTCCCCTAAGATCCTAAAAGACCTCATGGGGAAACGTCCATGTGTTTCTCTTTCCCTGGTCTGCTCTGTTTCATCCTGTAAGGACCCACCATCCTGGCAAGAAGTCCATTTAAAAGGCCAAGCTAGGGATATCTAGCCTACCTTCTGCAACATGGGAGGAGACGGAGCATCACCGCAGTCCGAGAGCCTTCCGCAGGCACTAGTTAGATGGCATGCCAAAAACGTCACGGGCAGGAGTTACTGGCACAGCCCCTCTCACAACCTGTTTACCGGCTCAAGGGAGTGATGGCACAATCTGACCTTAAAACCACATGCACACAAGCCTCCTCTATGCTGGAGAATGCCCCATCCTCACAGCCAAGTGCATCAGCACGTACCCAAGTGCAGCAGCCAGGAATGATCAGCACTGCCTTCCCCCTTCCAGAATGCCACATGAACTTCTCCAACACGTGACACCAGCAACCATACGAGTCCTCCCCAGCCTCACCCCGAGGTTGTTGCTGCCCTCTTTATGCTGTGCTCCCAAGTGGCACTCTACAAAGGGACCAGCAGACAGTGTCATACCATCTCCTCATCAAGGCACATGTAGCCCATTTGCTTCATGCAGGGCAAGTGAGAACGGTGCCCTACAGCATCCTCACGATGCTACCAGTGCTGCCCTCTGCCCTTCTGAGCTGTAATAAAACACAGTTTTAACAGAAAAATCTCTATTTTAACAAGCACTGCTTGTTTCCTTCAGGAAGGAGGTGCAAAATAACACTTTGCTGTAGAGCAGCAGCCACACTAGGAGTATTTTGTTAATAAATAATAGGTCATCATCAATAAATAGGTCTAATGGAGGCACATCCTCACTAAAGAAGTGCCAGCCAAAGCAGGTACACTTCTGCTGCGCCTATCTGAGGCACTGCTAGCTAAGGTGTACTCAGCTTTCCCCTTCCTACTCATACCAGGCTCAGTGGTCAATTCCTTAAATGGTCCAAACATCACCCAGAAAAACAATGGCAATTATCTGAACTCTGGCTATTCTGCAAGTGCTCCAGAGAGCACTTCCTTTGATGATTCATGATTTCTCTGGGCTTACATGGAGAAAAGCAGCAACCCAGACCCACAGACAGAGGCAGGAGCGACTCTCCTTTTGTTGTGAAGAAAAAGTAGATCATTCCTACCATGTGATGTGGTTCATGGTGTCTGCATCTGCTGAAAACAGCAGCAGGAGGTTGAGGAGTGATCCTGGGAAGTGTGGACAGGGAAAAGCGATCAGGCAGCCCTGCAGTGACCCGGTCTGCTGCAGCTCTTTGTGCACAGGCCTTTTACATGGTCCTAAGTAAAACTCTCACCTGAAACCAGCCTTTCCACATTGGTCAGCCAAAGGAATCTGGTGAAGCTGCAGTGCTGTTAAGATTAGTTAATGGCCTGGAGAGCAGGAAGCTGGCACCGATTCTGCTCTGGAACAAGGATCTTCTAGGAACAACCCTGTGTGTCTCTGCCAGCGTGCCATGCACATTCCCTTCAGCAACAAGGCAAGTTACAGTGGTATTTGACGTGTACGTTTGGACAGCCCAGGCTCGGCTATACCCTGTTAGTAGCAACATGTTGCTGTGGAAAGCTGAAATGCAAAGACCACCTTTGAGATGAAGGAGGTCTGGACACTTTGTTAGGATCATTTACTGCTTTTACCATAGTATTTCTTGGGATTGCGGATTAAGCATCAGTAAAGAAGAACTTTTCTCTTCCTTTTTCACAAGGAGACACGTGGAAAAGATGAGGGGTGATGGGTACAAGTTACTTCTGGGAATATTCCAACTGGGCACATAAGGAAACCTTCTCCATGAGAGCAATCAGCCACTGGAATAATCTCCCCAAGGAAGTGGTAGTTTGCCCAGCATTGGACAATGTTAAGATTCAGTTACACAGGGTGCAGGGACATCTAGTGTAGGTCATGCTTTACCTAGAAAGGTTGGACCAGATGATCCTTGAGGTCCCTTCCCACCTGGGATTCTAAGATGCTGTGAACTGATGAGGGAAGAGTGCAACACACAGGGGTTTGCTGTGTGGGTCTTCATGTCTCACAGGTAGAAATTATCCTGGTCCCTGAAGTAGGAGCCTGCTCCATGCAGCCAGTGGGAAGATGACCATTTGTCTGAAGAGATGCAAACCCAAGCTCTGTGTGCAGGGAGGATCAGTCTTCAGTCTGCCAGGATTTTCAGTGTCAGCAGGTCCCTGCTTCTCCTGCACTGCTCTGTACACGCCAGCGCTCCTGCTGCCTTATCTGGTAAGAAATACAAAACACGGAGGAAGGACAGTTCAAACAAGAGATATTAATCAAAAGCAACTTCTTATCTCCTCAGTTCGGCCCTTTGCAGACCCTGACTTCTTCTATCCTGGCAAGATCTGAGAGCAATACATCCTTTTTGAGATGCTAGACAACGACGAATGCTGCTGCGCTGGCACTGGCCAAGACACCCAAGGTACAAACCACACAGGTGATGTTATGGTTGACACTGGTATTGTGCCCAGTTTCACAACTTCCAGCCACTGGCATAAAGACTTTGCCTACAGCCAATGCTTCAGGCATTGACAGTGAGCCCGAGGGTGGGGACAAAAGACAACAGCAGCGGTGGAACTGCAAATAGAAACCTACATTACAACACTGCTGCACTCTTTCTTGACCACTCAGCCTTGCAGCAAGCTCTTATCACTCCTTTATATCTCCTCTTACCTCCAAGACCTTAAGACAGCCTACCAAGTGTGAAGATATGGCAGCAAAGGAGGATCGTAAAGATACAGGGGATGGCTAAAATGGCAGTAGAGATCACTGCCTCCTGGAGTCACTCTCGATCTGGGATTGCACTTGTGTCATCTGGAGTAACAAATGTATTGGCTCTTTGGCACGTGTCCAGTGGCCCAGAGAAACTTCCAAGGGGGCATGGAAGAAAAACTGCCTAGAAGAAAAGTCTTAAATCCCCCACATAATATGTGTAAGACAAGCCTGGTCAAATGCAAAAGAGAGGGGAAAGAATCACGGGGACTAAAAGATAATGGAGAAAGAGATAAAAGTATCAATAAAAAGGAAAGAGAGGAAGACCTTTAGTCAACAAAGGACTGAGGAGGTGGCAAGGGTGCGCCCTTGACAAATGGGGCCAAAGTCAAATAGGAAAATAACCCTGCCAGAACTAAAAGCAGAGGAGCTGAGGTTGAATCATAGGGGAGGCAGGGACATGGCCTAGAGAGTGCATTTGTGGAGAGGAGCGAGGCAACATGTGGGATATAATGGGATGGCTTATCTGGGGTGGTTGAGGCAGGAGGATGGGATAGTGGGGGAGGAAGGTGGAGGTACTTTTCTATGCTTCTGTGTGAGTCAGACACCAGAGAACTGTGCTGTGGGCTTACACAAGAATCAGGATAACACGCAGAAATAATGCCTACTGGGTTCGTTGCGTGGTTTTCCCTTTCTTACTCTTTTCTTCGGTGTGATTTTAAATAGCAAGGAAGTATGAGTCAATTGGAAGAGTGTTACTTCATCAAATGGCATAGTAACTGCTGCACTCCCCTGCTATCACCACCCCAAACTGATGATTTACTGCTCAACTGCAAATCCCCAGCTCAGGTGGAACTTCCCACCTTCACCTACATGTTAAAGCTGAAAATCCTCCAAACCGTACAGAGGCCTGAATATCTTGCAAATGAAACACCCCCGAAAAGAATGCTAGAGCAAACCACAATCGTCTTGCTGCAAATGGGAGACCAGCAGTCCTCTGTCTGCACAACTAACTAGAAATGATGGGAAGCATTTAGAATGAATGATAAAACTGCAGCCAGAGCACTGACCTTGGCACAGGGAAGTCAGCTGAAGAAATCTCCAGTCCATGCCACTCAGAGAGGGAAAACTTGGGGAGTTTAATAGCACCAGAGCAGCCAGTTGTAGAGAAAGACAGTGGATATGTGTTCCTATTGTAACAGGCATCTGACCTTACTGGGTCTATGTATTCTATGTATTGCCTTCTGGTTTTGAACCGTCAGAGCAAAACTTGCTTCACGTTTGGATCCTTTTCTCAATAACCATGAGACATAAGCTTTAACAACATCCCCCCCCCGAAAAAAACACCCCAACAAGAAGAATAAATTAAATTCTCATAAAACCCTGTTAATTTCAGCAGCTCACACACTCAGATACCAAACACTTCAAGACAGAAACAGTGACTGTCACTTGCCAAGTCAAGGGAGAAAGAAGACCTCGCCGCGTGCAGGGGATGATGATAGGGGTTTGAGCCTGCCAAGGAAAGGTACAAGACAATGCTTTAGCACTTCTTGCTAAGGCCAAGGAGCCTAAAAAAGGGAAAGAGGGGACTGTTTGGAGCTCTTCTTTCTGTTATTCAGTGCTATTGAGAGAGGATGTGGTCTCCCCTGCCACCCTTGCTGCATGTGCGTATTCTGGCTGCACTCTGGAAAGCCACCTCTCTATGGAGGTGCTGTAAGAAAAGGAGGTAAACAGGGCCTTGCCTTTTTCCTTAGCTCCTCCTTATCTTCTTTGTTGGTTTTTGGGTTTGGGGTTTTGTTCATCTGTAGATAAAGAGTTTTTCCCTTTGCTTGTACAGCAAATCAATTAAACAATACTGGGCATTCACATAGCCTAGTAATTTTATATATACAGCCGTCTGCATCAGCAGTTGTTATAAAGTTCTTCATTAAGGAAAGTATCTCTAAGAATGGGGTATGACCTCTTTGAGAGCATGCCAATAAGCAAAGCAATGTGATGAGCTCTATTAGGTAGAAGCTTTAGGCTCTCCCACAGTACCAAATGCTATAAAATCAGAGAGGGCACAGAGGAGCATTGCAAGAAGGAATAGTTTAAGCCTAGGGCTTGCTGCCACAGCACTGTTAGTGGGACTGCTTACTCACTGCAGGGGCAACAGCAAGTCAGGTATACGCACACTGCCACTGACAGGGCATCTCAATATCTCAATGCTCAAAGGCAGGCTGGAGTTTAAGTGTCTCAATTCAGCCCTGCCCTTTCAATCAGCCTCTCCTTTCTCCATGTAGCTTTCTCCCTATCGCCCTTTCCTTTCCCTCTTCCTACCCCCACCATTTGCTCTTATCTCTCTCCCACTCACAAATCCTTGATCTTCCACTCCCTGCAAAGGTAGGGAGCCAGCTACCAGACAGATCTGCTCTTGCCCCTTTGCTACCTCTGGGTCCTCTCTGAACCCGGGCATCTCACCCCAGATCTGTTCCTGTTGGGATTTAGCAAATGCAGCCCCTTGATCTTTTCATATGCATTTGCTAGGTCCTTACGCCTCCCCCACCGCTGCTTCCTTCAAGGCTTTCTGTGTGTCTGAAGCTCTTATCAACTCCTCCAAGCAGAATACACGAATGGCACCACCAGGTCTCGAAGTCACGTCTCACACCTCTCAGGAAATGGCTTACACCACCAAGTCACATCCCCCTCCTAAGCGCATGGCTAAAGTCACAAGACACTATTAATTCCTTGTTGACAAAAACAAAGAGAGACAGCAGTTTCATTTTCAAAGGAAAACAGATCATGCATCTATAGATGCAATCAGATCCTAGCCCGGGAAGACAGTCTTTTATGTACATGACCCATGAGGTGGAAGTTTCTGTTCTCAGAGAGAACAGAGCCGCTTGCCACATCACATTTACTTTAACACTGTGGAAGACCTGTGCATAGAGCTGTTGGGCAAGATCAGCCCTTTACTTTATGATCTGAAATACCTGGTGGCACTGGCTGCATGAGCAGCGTCCTGCGGTGGGGTTTGATGTCACCAGGCTCTGACACCACTCTGGCTCTCAATGCCATGGGCTCCATCGCATAGCTTTTACCTGGAGGTACAAAAGCCCTGACAGTGGCTCAGCCCAGCTGCTTGGTCACAGGTCAGGATGCAGAAGGAGCCCTCTACATCAAATAAGCTTCCTGGGCTAAGCAGGAGGGCAAACCCCCTCTTCTCAACACAGTGCTGGTCCCTGTCTTAGGGGAGGGTGGGATATGCTCCAGGACTTCCCTAGGAGCAGAGGGTGCTGTGCAGGGTCAGACAGTGAGGACTTCCTCAGCACCCTGCCAGGGCTCTGGTGAGGAGGAACATTCAAGGACACAGCTGAACATCCAAATGGAGCAGGCAGCTCAGGTCTCTCAAGAACAGACCCCAAGACATCTGCAGACTACGCTGAAGTGAGGACTATAGGCAACCCACCTTCTGAAGCTCTTCCTTGTTATAGCCATGAGGCCCAGAAACACAAGCACTATAAAATGACAACTGTAAATGAAAAACATGACATCACCATGAGACCTCAGAACTCTACCTAAAAGCCTGGCTGTGCCTCGGTATATATATAGATCTTGGTGTGTGTAGATTGGGAAGACCTGATAAACCTCTAAAAGCATTTGGAGGCTGTAAAGAGCTTTGTCACAGTGACTGGAAGCAATCAGAGGGAAATTAAGAACTCATCTAAAGATTTCCTTTTAGGCAGAATGAAAAACCCTCAGAACCTAAGCCTAGCGTGCATTAATGATTTTTGCTATCAGGTCCCTGCCAGAAAAGCTGGAAATTACACGGTATTTCCATGCCAGCAAATGTGTGCAACCATAAAAATGTGTCTGGTCTACAACTAATTTTAGTTGTGAGATAGTTCTATGGGCATTGCTGCTTCATACAGCTTAAACTTAAGCTCAGTCTTAATAGCAAAAAGGTGGGTTTGTTTTTCCTTAAACTTTCTCTAAGTTACCAAAATCAGGTTTGTGTGAGCGCGGTTCCTTTTCTGGTCAGGCTCCGAATATAGGCTTTGACCTTGGTGGATGGTTCCAGTTAAAACGGATGTAGAAATAGAGCTCTCCAAGATACCAAGTCTTTGCGAGGAGACAAGAAACTGCTAAATTTGCACCGTTACAAGCCTCAGTCTTGGGTTCAGACACCAAAGAATTCACATTAAAGACAACCTTCAAAAAGAAAGCAAGCTTTCTTGGAATGAAATGATACTGTGCAAGTGCCATCTCCATGCAGAGTCCTAGAAGGACCAAAGTGACACGACAAGTCAGAGGAGTCTGAACACAGCAAAGGCTGCAGTAGTGGTTACAAACCACGGCATGGCAAACCCCATCGTGTCTCACCCCTCGAGGGCTGAGCAGCAGAAGTGCTGGTGTGTGTTAGCTATGGAAAAGGGTGCGTTTGTTTTGGCAGCAAAGACACGACTGAATGTCACACTGCCGCCTACTCCTGCTGTGCGTTCTGGGATGCTTCCCAAGCCCCAGCTCCCCGAGTCACGTAAGGCAGGATCTCAATCTGCGCGTTTAGAAGATGACTTTGTGGCCTCAACAGCCTGAGAACCTCCCCGAGCTCAATATGCAAAAGGCTGGAAAGCCAGAAGGGCAGAAAACTCTGCACAGGGCCCATCTCCCCTTCTCCAAAATCTGTGTCTCAGAGCCTTTCTTATATCCTTGCAGGCAGCTGTGATACAGAATCATAGCTTAGTTTAGGTTGGAAGGGACCTTCAAAGATCATCTAATTCAACCCCTGCAATGAGCAGGGACATCTTCAACCAGATCAGGTTGCCCAGAACCACAACCAGCCTGGCCATGGATGGCACATGATAGCATGATCTCCACCTGAAGCTTGAAAACCATGCAGGTACAGACACATTTCATATTGCGAGGCTCTCCCAGCACGGACAAAAGCATAAGGAGCATCTCTCTTGACAAATATGGTAAAGATTAATGTGATTACATTACTCCAAAGGAGGTTATAATCTCCAATTTATACACATAGTCTGCTCTTCCCCTTAGAGAGAGCTATCTCAATTTTAGCCATCTGAATTTTAACAAGCAAGCCACTTCTGGGCTTATGTCACAGCTTCTGTGTTTTGAGGGAAGAAGTAAAATCTTCCTTTGTGCCTAGGCAGGACACAAATAAAAGCAAGTGTGTGGAACAGGAAGGGACAGAAGTCTGAATGTCTTCCTAAATGCTTTCAGCTCTAACCTAGGTATAACTCCACGCAGATGCTGGCACCTACAAGGCATTGGAAACCTCCTTGTCAGACTACAAGAGGCATAGCAGGATGCAAAACTTCTTGTGGAGGAAAAGAAACTCCATACACTGTGCTTTTTCCTTGTGCAGGAGGCACGCAGCAGCACCTCTCAGGCATTGCTTTTAGCACATCGGTGGGATGACATTCTGTGGGAGCTTTAGAGAGGTGTGCCAACGTTGGGAGGGGAGAGAACTGGCAGAAGCAAGCAAAGAGCTGTCTTTCAAGTTGTCCTGCTTGCATAGGAAGAGCCAAAAGCATCCTACTCTGATCCCCACCTAAGAGCACACTCCTTTACAATTAGAGCACTATCCCCCTTGTCTTTCTTTGATCTTAGATCCCTTTCAAATCAAGCCAGTACAGAAGGGTGGCCACTAGGATCCCACAGAAGAAATTGGTGTGCGATGCTTTGAGCCCCAGGAAAGGAAAAACTCAATTCCTGGCTCTGGTCTTACTCCAGAATTGCATGTACTGCTGGTATGTGGAAGACGACTCACCACCAAGGTAGATCAACATGCTGGTGTTAAACAGCCAGCCCAGAAAAGGAAACTGAGGCAGAGGGAGCGGAATCAAACAGAGGTCAGCACCAGAGACATACAGCCAGGCAGCACAGCCAGGCCTACCTACTGCTGCCTCCACTACTCACAAGTAAACAGCTGGAACAGCTGCTTGAAAGTGCAGTTGTCTGCAGATGGGTAATTCAATGACAAGAGAGTGAACCCCATGTGCTGGAGGCTGTGTGTGCAATTCTGGGCTCCATTAAGGGCACTGAACATTCTGGACACACGATTCAGTCACAGTAGCACAGGTTTACCCACCTTGTTCTATAGAGCTGCAAAACACCGCCTTTTTATTCTGTATCGCAGTACTGGTGGTCAAACTGCACTCCTATACAAGATCAACTGCAGCAAGTTTAGTATGTAGAAGTCATTTTTCTTACACTGTAACTGTAAAGTAGACTTTTTTTTGTTGTTTTTTTTTGTTTTTGTTTTTTTTTTTTTTATGGTCTGTAATTGTTGTACCCGTGTTTCTTAATGCCAGCTTTCAGGCCTGGGAAACATCTCCATTCATTTCCTCATCAGGGGAAGCATGTTAGCTGCCCTTACAAGACAGCTATTGGAACACCCCTGATAACCTAAACTGCCAGGGAACTGAGAATGCTTTTGACCCAAGGATGTCACAGCAGTCAGAGATCAAAGAGTCAGCCCATTTCCAGATTTATGAGTTGGGAATAGGTCTATTAGCTCCCAGTACTCACTCTTTCCTGAGTATGGATTCACATACATTGATAAAGTAGTTGTCTGAATGGGAAGTCTGACACTGAAAACCACAACGCTCCTGAAGAGCCTGTCTCTGTTTTGTCCTCTTCTAGCTCAGCATCAGATCCAGGCAGTAGCATTCCAGAAGCACCCCCAGATGGGATCCCATTATTTCCCTCCTGCTCCGCCTGACAGCGCCCGCTTGCTTGTACAGCCATCCACATGGTGACCCATGGCAGGGAATCCCAGGTCTGGAGGAAAAGAGAGAACCCTGCTGTTACTGTACAGTTGATTTAACTTGGATTAGTTCTCTGACCACACGGTGCAAACTCAGAGACACCTTAGCAACCCACCTGGCTAAAGGGAAAGCAGCAGGATGGCGTGAACAGTGGGGGGCCTGTGGTGCCAGCACCTACTTGAGCTTGGGCTGCTGCTGCTACTGCTCAGAAGAAAAACAACACATGTACTTGTGTGAAAAACCCCCAGTTCCTTGAAAAAGCTGCGCTCTGTCTAGCTACTTAATCCATCTTCACCAAACCCTAAAGTCAATATCCCTGTAAGGGCATAATTCAAAGCAGGATTAAATCCCCCCAAAACCTAAAGGATGTCACCTCTATTCTGCATTAGATAGGGAAGAAAAGTCTGTTTATGTTTTTCAGCAAAAGATACATAAAAAAGAGCAAACCACTCATCAAATAAATGTAATATGGAGCAATTCCCTTTGGTACCACCCGTGGCATCTAAATCTGCACAGAATCTGCAGAGCAACTCAACCCTCCCCAAGTCTTTTATTAAACCCTAAAACGCTGCTGTCCGTGCTTTCTGCATCACCATTCACTTGTGCCCTCTCGTTACACTGCTGAGAACCCTGCACAAGTCTCATGTTTCTGACCATCACCTGCATCCTACAGGTTCGTTTGGGAACTAACGACTCAGAAACTTCATTAATGAAAGCACACGGACTGCTGCACGTGTAAACGCGGAAAGGTGCATTAGGACTTATTAAAACCGGCTTTTAATGATCAAAACACCATTCTTTTTCACACGATTCCTGTAAAGCAAAACGGGAGCAAACCATTTTTAAGGCACATCCCATTGCAACGTGTGGGCAACGTTTCTGCACGAGACCTCTCCAGCTGGGAAACGCTTATCGCGGAAGCGCCAGGGCTGTGCGAGCAGCGGCATGCAGGCGTTGGCAAGGGGATGCCACCAGCGCCTGCCTCTGCCCCGTCTGAGCCGCTTGGGGCTGCCGAGGTGCGTTTAGCTCGCATCTTAAAGAGATGTTTTCGCAGCAGGCACAGCAGGAGGCCGCGCAGCTCGCAGCCGAGCGCCGCAAACAGAGCGGCCGCGGGGAGAGATAACCTTTGTTTACTCCGAGTCTCACACTATGCGGGAGCAGGAGCCCTCCCTCGCCGAAGCAGACAGCTGCTGTCGAACACCCACCTCCGCGCCAGCGGCAAACACCGTAACCGTATAGACCCCGGTGCTGCGTTAGGAATAACCCAGGCTTCGAACCTCCACACACCACGCTGTTCGACCCAGTGTTTCGCGCAGGGCGTCGGGGGCCATCACCCACGGGTGCCACCCCAAGCGGGCACCCCACCAGCAAGCACTCCGTGGGGTGCCCCGGCCCCCCTTCCCCTCCCGGGGCTGGGCCTCCCCGCTCGGAACCCCCGCCCCTGCGGAGCCCCCCTCCCCGGCTATAAAGGCGGCGGGGCAGACAGAGCCCCTCCTGGCCCGCAGCCATGGCCGCGCTGCGCTTCGGGGAGCCCCCGGCCGAGCCGCCCTCCTTCCCCGCAGGCAGGTGGCCGGTGGGCGGCGGGCCCGGCTCGGCCTCGCCCGCCCTGAGGGCGCTTCCCCCGGCGGAGCCGTCAGAGGGTGCCCCGGCGGCCTCGCAGCGTCGGAAGCGGACCAGCTTCACGGCGGCGCAGCTGGAGACGCTGGAGCTGGTGTTCCAGGACACCATGTACCCCGACATCTACCTGCGGGAGAAGCTGGCCGACGCCACGCACATCCCCGAGTCCCGCATCCAGGTGAGGGGCGCCGGCCGCGCCGCGCCACCCGGGCCCGTCCCTGCCAGCCCGCCCGCCCTCACCGCCGCCCTCTCTCCCCAGGTTTGGTTCCAGAACCGACGCGCCAAGTCCCGCCGCCAGCGGGGCCCGCCCCGGCCTGGCCCTGGTCCCGGTCCCGGCCCCGCTGCCGCCGAGCCGCCGCCGGGCTTCCCGCGGCCGCAGCGCTTCGCCGCCTTGCGCGGCCCGGAGCGGCCCCGCTGCGCGCTGCCCGGCGCGGCCCAGCTCCTCCCGCCCAAGGAGGCGGGATCGGCCCCCTACGAGTGGCCGCCGGCAGCCGCCTTCCCGCCGGGCCCCGGCTTCGACGGTTTCCAGCCCGGCGGGGCCGAGGCCGCCTCCTTCGCGGGGTCACCGGCGGCCGGGCCCTACCCGCCGGGCCGCGCCTTCTGCGGGCAGTACTCGCCCGTGTCGGACGCGGAGGACACCAGCGGCTACTCGGAGTCGGGCTCGGAGTGGGAGGAGAACGCGCTCGGAGCCTTCCGAGGTCTCTGAGCGCCCGCGTCGGGGATTAAAGCTACACACACCGCCGGGCTTGAGGCGAAGCTCTCCCCCGCCAGACCCCGTCCTGCGGTGCCGCTGCTCGGGCGGGGAGGGGGCACCCACCGCGCTACCTCACCCCTGCCTTGCGACTGTGCACTTTATCCGGTGGTAACCGATTGCACCTATTTATTTAAGAGACACGGGTCAGGGCCGTCAGCTGAGGGCATCTTTTTACGCTGTATTTAAAGGTTGCTGCCAGCACGTTTTGTATTTCTATTTTGTGTTCTTTAGTCAAACAAGCTAACCGAATCCACTGTGGTTTGGGGGTGGGAGCTGATCTTAGGAGTAGGATGGGCTATAGGGATATTTTGACTGAGGGGAAAAAAAAACAACAGTAATAAAAGTTTACATTTTTGCTCCCTGTGTAAGCCTGTGTGTGTACCTGGGGTAGGGACAGGGCTTCTTACCTTGGTCAAGGTGGGGTAGGGAACAGAGGCTGTAGATATGCCACCTGCAGGTTCTCTTCCCAGGTCCTGGAGAGAGGGCCACGTCTGGAGTCCGTGTGTAAGAGACCTATGGTGCCTGCAGGACAGGTTACAAACAATGCCTTAAACTGTGTTGGTATTTGCTTCGGATCTGCTCTAGACAACCAGACCCACCCCTGAATGAGAATGTGAATTTATGGCTTAAGTCATACAAAAGGCAAACCCTCAAATCGTCGTCTTGCTGAGACAAAAGCCTCAATTCTGCCACTTAAGCCAAGGGTAATGTTAGATGACAGAAAGCAGGAGTATTTTGTCAACACTGTAAAGATTCTTTAGCTCCGAATTAGAATACTGGGGACCACACACGGAGAAGCTGTGGCTGTGATCAGTAGGGGCCGTATGTCTGCACCGAGAGCACCAAAATCAGCAGTAAAAGAAGCCTGTCCAGTAAGTCAGGCAGTTTATTTAGGAAGGCTGTATTACTATGTATTTATTTTGAGGGTAAGGCCAGTTCTGCCTGCCTGCAAAGGAGTACTTCAGAGCAAGTTGTAAGACTCCAGTTACGGAAGAGCACAGAACATACGACCTGTGCACTGATGGTGGGAATACCCTGCATTGAGAATCCTGCCCTACAGAATAAGGTTACCAATGCACAGAATCCCTCAGTGTCACCCCATGACATACCTGGGCTTGTGACACCTGTGACACTGAGCCATGGTTGAACTGCAGGCTTCGAAGGGTAAGTACCATTGCAGGATTGCTGATTAATGTTCTCCCTCCAAAACCAGAGCTGCCCTTAAAACATGGAGTAAAACCCACCAAACAAATCAAGTTCAGCCGCCACAAAGCGGGCTTGGGTGCCTAAGGAGCTGTTTGGTAGGGGTTGAGAAGCATGCACAGGAGCAGGAGGCAGAAAATGAGATAACCATTTCTAGGGGGCACAGGGTAAATTCAGGTTACTAAGAAAGCAAACCTGTTCTGCTTCTGCAGGCTTGAACTGCACTACAGTAGTTGCAGTGAGTTCTTGAGATCCCTACTATGCTTAGGTCACATTCAGCAGGAACAGTCATATCTGTTAAGTGTATTTGATCAAAACTCAGCATTAGCTCTGACCAACATGCCAGTAACCAAGGAGAAAGGCAGCCTCTTGAAGAGGCATGAATGTTCACGTTGCGTACATGAGCTGGCCAAACAACATGTGAAAGTACATGGTACATGGATATGCTTATCACAAATTACCTACCTTCCTCCTGTTGTTGGAACTAGATGGTATTAAGGTCCTTTCCAACCCTGACGATTCTACAGTACTGCCCTGCAGTGATTAAAAACACCCCACAACACCACAAAACATGCTGGAATTCATGGATTCATTTAAAAATCCACATGCAAGATCTGTCATACCTACAGGAGCAGGGTTACAATTGGAGTGTGGTGGTCACTACAATGTATTCTGTATCCAGTTAAGAAATAAGCTTGTCATGAAAAGCAGGTACCCAGCAGCATCACTCCCCAAACTGGCATGATACTAAACCTATCTGCCTGAAGTTAGGCTCTGGCACCTTTCTCTGTGCACATAAAAAGGGTGGTGGGAGGTGACCTGCCTGCCTTCTTTACCAGAGGGTAACACTACAGAATGATGGGCAACATAACAACAAAAGCAATTGCAGGGAGCACCAGTGGTCTATTGTGTTAAGAGAGGTAAATTTCCACAGGTAACTTGGCAAAATTAGTGTTTAGCGTTATTTTGCAATATCCCTGGCAAAGTTCCTAAATACCTTTAAACACAGCTAACTCGCCTTGTCCTCATAACATTTCATTCTCAGCAATTAAAGTTAACTTCTCTTAAAAGAAATGACCTGAGACCATCTGCAAAAAAGTTTGCATTTTTGTGAAATATATCAACTCTCATAGGTCAATTTATTCAGAGTTACAAATTTCATTGAGAATAAAAGATTTATGCATTTCTCTTAATTAACAGAACAAGTTTAGCTAAATAGAAACTCTGCACTAAAGTTTTGCAGTGGCACAATACCAACACAGAATACAGAAGCATCTTTCAACTATACAAAATTTTAAAATTGAAAATAATCCTGTTTACATATTCTTTATACATTAACATATAAAAGACCTCATTTAATGAGGCATCTAAAAGAATCAAAAAACCATCTCTACAGCTATCTCTGAAAATCTGTATCTGGAAACAATTCATTACACAGAAGCTTTACAAGACTATTTAAACAAACCAATACACACTTTTTACAAGTTTAACATTCCAAAAGGTACTCTGTAGGCAGGTTGTCACTTTTTGCAGTTTACTTCACTGGTTATCTTCCATTATAAAAGCCTTTGTATTTCTGTATCTGGTGGGTGTTGGTGGATAACCAGTCATCTCATTTAAAAATTGTGCAAAACAAACAAAAATTTGGAAAAACAGTATGCTTAACCGGTCATTTATAGAAAATACCAGCTAAAGCACTTACTTTGCCCCCTCTGAAGGGTAAAAATCTCTTCCTGGAGAGTTATCCGTTACATTTTTTACATTCCTTCATCAGACTCCTTCTATAAGTTACGATAAATTAAAAGTTCCAACAAGCCACTGACTGATCCATAGGCCTGCCCAGCATCCTCAAGTTTACAGCTTCTCTTTGCTGTCTGCTCCGTATCCTGTTGCTGCTTCTTTAGATGGGGAACACAGCCTGTGTTGTACCCACATTACCCAAAGGCTGAAATGGCACCTCCCATACTTACACAGAAGCCTAACAAAGACCTGCCATGTGGCTACTAATGTGAGCCATTTCCTCTTCGTCACTTCTAACATACCAGGAGAGAGTCAACAGCAAGAGGTGTGCAGAACTCATCTGAACTTTTAAAAACTTAAATTCAATTTAATTTGAATTTAAGTTCAAATTATAAGAAAGTATGTCCTCAAGCTTATTATAATAAATGCAGTTACTAAGAGATTACCAGTTAGCAAAACTACTGTATGTGAATAACAAACGGATAAATCTAATGTAATGCTGGCCAGTAATGCTGGTTTTCTTAAGAAGCAGATAGAATATATTTTAAAGGGTCCTTTGTGAGAGGTTTTTTCTTTCCCTTATCTTCTGGCAGTTAGGATATTTGGTGAAGCCTATATAAAGGAAGAGGATTTTCCAGAACTACTTGCTGTACACTTGAAGGAAAATGTTCAGTCTCTGTTGGTGTTATTAGCTGCAAAAGCATGTAGATTTCCCATCTGGCTCAGACCACTCTGAATATGTGCAACATGGATCTCAACGTTATTCTGAAAACAACTACAGGAAGAAAAGAAGGAGGAAAAGAAAGTGTTAAACCCCATATTTAAGAGTTGTATCTGAATATTTTCACAGTGAAAGTCAAGGTATGAACACACCCAAATATAAAACTTCAGGTGAATTAGAGTAGTACACACTAATGCAACTTGATAGAGATACAGGTACATATAGTGTTCGTACAAACAGCTGCATGAAATCAGCAGTTACTGATTTGGGTACCTAAAAGATGACTTTAACATGGCCAGAGTTGTTTAAATAAAACTATTATGAAGAGATCCTAAAATGCCCAAAATAAGTACAATGAAATGGAAACATCACCACCTTCACAGTGTAGCTCAACCTTTGGCTGAATCCTTTCCTATGTGCAATTTGCAGTGTTGATTATAGAGAAGCTTTGTTTTTACTACTGAAAAATGCTAAAAAACAGCATTTCTCAGGAATTATTCTTAAACCAAAAGGCCATCCTACTATCTTTTGCAAACAAAACCAAAACCAGTAATTCATGTGTGCAGCCTCCCCTTATTATGTAGCAATAAGAGTATGGAGAGTATAAGGAAATACTTAGCATTTAGATATAATTTTCCAAATTGTGTAATTTAGAAGCGTTATAATTATACATATAAAATCCTGGCCACTCCTGCTGGATGCTGCAGTGTGCTCCAGACAAGTATCACCACATTCTTGCTATTTTTACACTGCTTCCTCAGGCACCTGCTTGTGACAACTGTTGAAAAATGGCCCATCTAGAGTAGATGGGCCTTTGATCTGGCACAATATGGCTGTTCATCTGTTTCTT